AACAGTAACCAGACCAAACAATCTTAAATATTACTTACCAGTTACCACTGCATGTGACAAGTCCCTTTAATTCTGGAGAGAAATGGCAGCACCAATGCAAGGATCTTACATTTGTCCTAAATATGAATATCCATCAGATGAATAGCAGCTCATTGATACTTAATTTATTTACATCTGTTTAAAAAATCACAAACAAGCAGAAATGTACCATGCAAAATATATAAGCTATCGCCATTTGACCCACTTCTAATTTTTTATTTGAACATTATGTGCTGCTAGTGCCGACAGAACAATATCACACATAGCGTATTTCTTTATTTCATTTATTCACGGGCACGAGAGCAGACTACAGATTTTCAAAAAAGAGAACGGCACTAAAATACGGCTGCTTATTTCTTAAAGGTGAAACCGGCCTCTAAGATACGCTACTGTTGCAGTTCTGCAGCTTCTGCTGTCGACGTAAATACTCCGATGTCACTCCTAGTGGGTTCAACAAAAAGAATTGAATAAGAATACCTTCTTACAGATCCAAGCTTCTCTTAGTAAATTTAGTTTTGTGAAAAATAAATGCGTAATTTGATAAAATTCACTATTCTATAGACGCCATTTTGAAAATACGCGAGATCAAAGGTAACACCGACTCTGACGTTATGTTGACGTTATGAGCAATACCTAGTTCACTGCGAAGTCCTGCGAACTCGTTGTAACGTCTGTAAAGTGTGATCCTATTGTTTGTATGTAGTACGTAGTAGTGTGACGAAACATTACTTGTAAATTTCATTCGATCTGCTACCTACACAACCACCAGCACAACGAGAGAAATATGTCCCAGCCGTGGTGGCGATACACAAAAGCGTGCGTCCGAGGGATTTCAAGCAAATTTGCCGAAGGTGCTTTGAAACTTGCCGAAGGTGCTTTGAAACTTGCAGAACCTGAGGAGGCAATTTCTTTGACCAAAGCGAAAGAACAGCATAAGAACTATGTGGCAGCTTTAGAAGGGCTGGGTTTGGAAGTGATAGAGATTGCTGCGAATGATAAGTTTCCGGATTGCGTGTATATCGAAGACCCTGCAGTTGTATGCGATGATACTGCATTGATTACTGTTCCTGGGCATGTTTCAAGGCGAGGAGAAACTAAAGCTGTTAGGATTGCCTTAGAGAAACTAGGTATGAAATATTTTCAATAACCCACCAAATTGATCAATTCCAGCATAACTCGGGGAATATGTAATTTTTAATTATGTAATTTTGAATTATGAATGTACCATTCTCTACAGACTACAGGTCTGATGACCTTATGTTCATATGATATGTATCACAATGACTCAATGATAACTCACTTTATTAAAATAATGCGAATTTAATATTATTAGTACAAATCAGGTATATTAAAGAGTGAGTGTTGGCATGCATTCAACCCTTTTGCCCTTATATAAAATCTGGAGCAAAGGTATGTTTGTAGCTTGAAATTTGATAATTGCAACTTTGGTAATTGAACCTTTCTATAAGTAGCTCTAGTTCTCTTCTACACAAAAATCAGCTTTAAAGAGCGTACTAGCTCTTTTTTACATTCAGCAATTAACAAATAATATAATAAATTTGTCTTTAGTAACACGTTGTGCCAGCATCACGGGTACCCATACACGAGCCTATAGGCACACTTTTCCCTTAGGGTTTGACCCACTTGATCTTATGACAAGCTATCTTTATATACATAAGTTATTACAAAAATATACTCAAGAGAGAACACCAACTACACAGAGAGAACACCAACGAATTATATTTTAAATTTGTTCAGGAGTAAGAATTGTGGACATGGTGGAACCTGCTTCCATGGATGGGGGAGATGTGCTGTTTACTGGACGCGAGTTTTTCATTGGTATTACATCAAGAACAAATAGAGAGAGCTGTAAATTTGTAGAAAAAGCTTTTCCAAATTATCCAGTCACAGCTATTGATATGGGTAAAAGTGGTATATATTAATTTTGTAAATTAATATAGTAAATTTGTAAACAGGGGAAATAATGCGCGCAAACACATATACCCGTTTTGCTTTCAACATTCAAATATTCGGTGTTTACCATGCAAATGTACGTGTTCTAATAAACTTACAGGTCCTTCAGCATGTACCAAGTACACAAAAAAGACACAACCAAAATCAAAGACTGTAGATAAGCAGGTGGAAGATGCTTTTACAAAAGAAATGTCCGCGGTAAAATCAGTCGAGATTATAAATTATTTTTGCCAGTGGCTTATTGGAAAACTTGAGTGCCTACGGTGCAATGATGTGAATATATTTCTATTCGACAATATTCGACAATTTGGGGGTTGGCTAAGCTTGATCCGACGGCCGTGAGAATCGTTATAAGCGAGATTTAGATTATAGAGCTGCCCCACAACGAGCGCAACCATTGGTTTATGATCACTCAATGGTAGTAGCAGTAGTTAAAGTGATAAGCAAATCGGAAGCTCGCAATATCATCCTGCGAACAAGAAAAATAATGAAACTATATACTCAATGCAAAATTTTCACAAGTTTTAATGATTATTCCTTTTGGACGAGAAAGCTGCTTATCACAGAAAAATATCTAGAATTAAATTCTAAAAAAATGTTGGCATACCGCAGAGGCCGAGTGTGAGACTAGCTATAGTCCATTTCAGAAAACTATAAGTTGCCGTTAAAGTTGGCGGCGAAGGAAACAATTTCTTAAACGATGATGGCCAAAGAATGAAAAGGAAGTGTATCATGATTCCCTACACAGCATTTAATCAATCTCGCGCGTTCTGCGCGAGAAACTTATGCTAGGTTAGCCCATGCATCTTTTGTAGCAAAAATACACTTGCCATAGGTCAGGGTCTTAATTATGTGGATTTTCTTTTTATAATAATAAGTTGTATTTAACGTTTATTTTTGTCCGTTTTATGTTATAACGCTTCAATTGTTCAAACCTTGCGTAAAAGGAGTAATGTAGAAACAGAAGATCCTGTTTCCAATGAACATGCATCAGTCAAAAATTGGAAGACTGGGTAGGGTGACTTTTTATGCATTAATTGCATTAGACTGCATTAGTTATTTGTACAGTGACGCGCAATATACGAATGGACCTTTCGGTAATTACGTCATAACTACATGAAAGCGAGCGTAAGGGGCCAAGCACTATACCTATCTCAATGGCTACCCCCCCTGAAAGTCGAAAAGTGCGGTAAAATTATAAAAACAAACTATTTTGAAATTTGAATCAATCGCGGATGATTTAAATACCAACACAGAAGACGATTTGACAAGTACCAAAAGGTACCTACAAAACTTTTTGTTTTTACAAAACTGTCAAGATTGTAAACAAATGACAACTGCATGAATTAACTGATTATGCAGAAACGGGGGGTTGTATATATGGTATAGTGAGGGCATATTTGTCCATTCAATTTTGTAATTTTTTATGTTATGTTACTGCTTATAGTGCTCATAGGTTTTTAAACCAATATATAATTTAGTTATCTTGAATAAAATTGTTGGTTCAATATAAAAGTTGCAGGTCTGTTTATCATATAATGGAGTATTTATCAATTACACCTTATGATGTATATTGACCCTACAAAGTGTAAATAGACACTTATAATGCTACCCCCAACTTGGTGTTTTAATACACTTCACGGTGTATATTGATACTGTAAAGTGTAAGCATACACCGTTCAGTGTAAATACAGAGGCAAGAGCTATAACAATTTTTATTTATAATTTTAGGAAGACGATAATTTTCAAACTTTTGTGAGTGCAGCAACTTTCCCTATGCTACTATGCACTGGAGACAACCCGTTGGTCCCGAAGCGGCTAGCAATTTGCGTGGAGAGATCCGGACATTAAGAGTTGAATGTAATTCTTCTCTCAGGAGAGATAGTAATCGCGTGATTATATTGCATTTACCATATTTTTTCTATTGCCTACCCAGTTGAGCACAAAATATTTTTCTATTTTATCGATTCTTGCTTATTTAGATTGGAAACTTCTAATAGACAGAAACATATTTCAGTCCAAACATTTGTTAAAATTTTGCTCAAATATACAGAAAAAGAGTAAGCCTGCATGAGTATACTAGTTGTCGTGAAAATGAATCTGCTTGTTATCCTTCAAGCCGGATAACAAGCAGATTCAAGAATTGAGTAGAAGTCGAAAATCGAAGTGTCACTATGTCAGGTATAACGAGAAAACAGGCAGAGAGAGGTGGGCATTGAGCCTACGTTACCAAGAGTTTGGCACGGGGCAAAACTCTAGTAGAAGAATTTACAGAAGAAAGTGTATTAGAGCTCAATACGTTGAAGCTCAGCCTATCGGACAAGAGAGAAACGATAAAGAAGCCAGATGAGCAAATTTTAGAAATAGAGTCGGCATCGAAAACGTCGGACGAAATATACGAGGGGTTAGCGGCGATTGAAATAGTTATAAAAAAGGTCGCATTAACAAATCGGCAAGCTAAACAGTCGCAACAAGGAACATCGAGAGCCAAGTCTGGCGTCTGGCGTCAACGATATGCTAAATTTGAAGCCAGCGTTTAATGGAAACGACACGGAACATCACTGAAATGATGAATGCCCAGTGGGAAACCGAAAGCATTTGTACAGAAAATTTTTCCAAAGACAGGAAAAGTTTTATAAGGTATAAGGAACAATAAGTGGCACGTCGCAAATGTCAATACCATTACGCTATATTTTTTCTCTCACAGGCGCACATGCATGCAGTATAAGACCATAGAAAAAGACCGGCTATTTCATTTTTTTCGGGTGGGGCAATAAATTTTCAAAATTTTTCGACCAATTGCAAAAATGTTACTGTAAAGGTTATTTAGAGGTTTAACGAGAACAATTAAGAGTGCGCAGTTTTAGAAATCTTACCAATTCATGTGGATTTACGTACAGTGTTCATCAGTGCTATATTCAATAACATTATAATTGCATGGCTGACCTATATATTACATATATACTAGGCTTTCTTGTGTTCTGCATGTCCTGTTGAGTGTTGTGGAACACCACATTGGCAATGAGAAAGTTGATGAAGAAATTATCATCGCAGATGAAATCCCGGCCACCATTTTAGAAACGACAATGGAGGTAATGAATTACTTCGCAAAACAGCGTCAGGCATTCATGCAGGTAATCAAATTAAACTTCACATTTCTAAACGACATTTTAAAATTATCATTATTAAACATAAAATTTCTCAATTTCTATATCCAGCTGATCTAAAATGATGACGTCATGGGACGTCTCGACAAACCTATGTGACCAGATTTTGTTTGTTTTTTCTCATGTAGACGCCCACGGCCCTTGACGATTTAGGGGAACTTTATGGACTTTTTTGTTTATATTTTTTTCTTATGCATGTGACAGCTGCTAAATACTGACAATGAAAAATCTAAAAAATCCGCCAGCGCCGACCCTGGGCCATCGTCCCAAATAGAAGAAACATCTTCAACTGAAATGATGCAATGTTTTGGAGAATGGTTTGTTGAGCGATTTCAAAATTATAAGAAAGAAGATGTAAGTTTAGTTTATACATGGAGTTAAAAATGTGCCAAACTCTTTGCCTTTGGAAAACAACAACTGGAACTTTATGTTACTCACATGTTTAAGAAAATTTCCATGCAGTGTAGTTTATTGCCATGCAAACATTCAAAAGACTTAGGACTTTTTGGGATATATTCCACGATCAATTTTCTACCACAACTATATTTCTGGCTTTTCTGGCTATTGTCTGTTTATGATATGTTTTATCCCCTGTTTCCAACGTAGCTTTACAAGTTCGCCCGCGAAAAGAAAAAGTGCGACGGATCAGAACATTTAGCCTTCCGGTACGAGGCGTATCCGGCTGACCAAGATGGGCCGCCGTACCCAAAGACTGTTCTGAGGAAAAAAAATATATCGTTCAGAAATTGCTCGCGACTACTCACTTGCTTTTAGGTCAACTTCAGACCTCGGTGAAAAACGGCTTGCAACTACTTCTACAAGTTGTGTGATATTACAAAATATGGAAAAATTTGAAAAGAAATGGAAGAAGATAAAATATGAGAACGGTGACAGGGTTTTGAACAGTAATGCTATTAAAGAAATTGAAAATATAAAAGTGCACATAAAGAAAGGCTGTTTGTCCGGAATACCACCGGGATGTGGAACAAACAGAAACGAGCGACTGAATAAACATCTCAACAAGTTTTTACTTAATAACAAAATAAGCGTTGATTTAGCGTACGCGAGATGCTTCAGACTTTTCTCCAAACTCAAATGTATGCAAAAAGTTAGAGAAGAAACTTTTGGAACTTCATCTTCCTTTTTACCGAGTAGCTGCTGGTCAACGACCGATTGTAAAGACGCAAACAAACAGACTGAGTGCTTATCGCAAGAGTTTTTCGCAATAGAAAATTTTCACCTATCAAACAAACGGGATACTCATTTAGAGGAAAATCAGTTTCATCAACTCAATATTAATTTGTTCAAAGTTGATAATGTGACAAACGTTGCCAAATGTGTTCAGCAACTAATCAACAACAGGCGAACGGATTCATTACCAGAACATTGGGAAAATTTCTTAGTTTCGGAACACGACTATGCTCAAATCCCGAATCTCGCAAGGGAAAAAGACGAAACAAACTGCTTGAAGATTTTGCACGATGCTATTTGTCTATGGCGAACGTATGTTCAATTAGGTGATACATTTGGGAAAAAGGTGGTCGACGTTGAATCAATCGGAATCAATCCAAAGAAGCCATATATTAACGTTGGGATTGAATCAAGGGATCTTTCAGCGTCAAGCACGCCATTAATTCGTGCTGAAGAAAACAATATAGAACGTGTCGCTAATGCTTGGGGATTTTCATTAGTGGATATTCCAGGTGCTGGTAACTGCTTCTTTACAGCCATAGCATTTAATTTGCACGAAATAGTATCGGATTATACTACGGATTTAATTCTAACCAGAAATCATTTAGAATCAATTGGAATAAACAGTGAACAGTCAATACCAGATCTAGCTTATTACCTCCGTACACTAATTGTGGACGAGTGGACAGGTCCTTTCACCTCGGAGTATCAAGGTTTCTTTTCAAAAACCAATATCCGCAACGAGGCAGAACAATTTCTCAAAAATGGTCATTTCTCGTCAACTTTAGGCGACGCAATTCCCTTTGCTATGGCCAATGTTTTGCAGCTTCCAATACTTATACTCACACCAACAAATTTAATACCATTTACAACAATTTACCCTCGCCACAACATTGAATGTGCACCACCTTTACTTATAGCCTATGACAACAGCGGACCAGGACATTACAATGCGATGATTAATTCTGTTTCTGACGCCTCTGACTCTGTAACTAGCACTAGCAGTCATCGGCCAGTACATCATGCCACTGATACCAGCGCAAATACCAATTTGGAGAAGGACAAATTTCCAGATAAAAAGAGATACTGTCGCTGTGGTATAAATAAAAAACAAACCAAAAAGGCTGATATAAAAAATACAATACGAAGAAACTACAGAAGTAGGTGCGGTGGCATTACCGCATATTCATCATGCCCTCAAAATTGCAAGTGCAAAGGTGTTTGTGGTGGTACTAAATGTAAGCAGGAATTACAAGGACAAAATGATAAAAAAATTCACGTCAAACTCGTAAACGAGGACAACATTTCATTAAAACATCACCCGCCAAAAAAATGAAGATTTCCCAGTCAGATGACGAGAGACTTAACGCGTTAGAATATTTTATCATTGTAGCAATAATGAACTTTTATTCAGTTTTAAGCATTGACTTAGACGCCAAAAAAATAGCAGCTATGTATAACAACATAATTACTCTAATTTCTGAGGAAAACGAGTTAAGAACATTGCCAGTACAAACACGTTCTCTTCGTCGAATCGAGAGTGTTATTAAGAAAATTATGGAAAAAAAAACAAAAAGTGAATCATATTAGATAAAAATAAAATGTAATAAAAACCGTGTAATCTCACTGTTGATAAGTGTAATTCACCCTATTCAATATTTATAATATTTATTGGAAGGGGGGGGGGAGTTATAGACAAGGGGACCTCCTCATATCTTCCCAGATGAAAGAAATGGGGTGCTACAATTCTGATAAACCAGGAGAGGGGATGAAATCACAGTATCATAGTATCATAGTATCACAGTATCACAGCATTATAGTATCATAGTATCATAGTATCATAGTATCATAGTATCACAGTATCACAGCATTATAGTATCATAGTATCATAGTATCACAGTATCATAGTATCATAGTATCACAGTATCATAGTATCACAGTATCATAGTATCACAGTATCACAGTATCATAGTATCACAGCATCATAGTAGCACAGTATCACAGTATCACAGTATCATAGTATCATAGTATCATAGTATCACAGCATCATAGTAGCACAGTAGCACAGTATCACAGTATCATAGTATCATAGTATCATAGTATCATAGTATCATAGTATCATAGTATCATAGTATCATAGTATCATAGTATCATAGTATCATAGTATCATAGTATCACAGCATCATAGTAGCACAGTACCACAGTATCACAGTATCATAGTATCATAGTATCATAGTATCATAGTATCATAGCATCACAGTATCATAGTATCATAGTATCACAGTATCATAGTATCACAGTATCATAGTATCATAGTATCATAGTATCATAGTATCATAGTATCATAGCATCACAGTATCATAGTATCATAGTATCACAGTATCATAGTATCACAGTATCATAGCATCACAGTATCACAGCATCATAGTATCACAGTATCATAGTATCACAGTATCACAGTATCACAGTATCACAGTATCATAGTATCATAGTATCATAGTATCATAGTATCACAGCATCACAGTATCACAGCATCATAGTATCACAGTATCATAGTATCATAGTATCATAGTATCATAGCATCATAGTATCATAGTATCACAGTATCACAGTATCATAGTAGCACAGTATCATAGTATCATAGCATCATAGTATCATAGTATCATAGTATCACAGTATCACAGTATCACAGTATCATAGTATCACAGTATCATAGTATCATAGTATCATAGTATCATAGTATCATAGTATCATAGTATCATAGTATCATAGTATCATAGTATCATAGTATCATAGTATCATAGTATCACAGCATCATAGTAGCACAGTATCACAGTATCATAGTATCATAGTATCATAGTATCACAGCATCATAGCATCACAGTATCACAGTATCATAGCATCATAGTATCATAGTATCACAGTATCATAGTATCACAGCATCACAGTATCATAGTATCACAGTATCATAGTATCACAGTATCATAGTATCACAGTATCATAGCATCACAGTATCACAGCATCATAGTATCACAGTATCACAGTATCACAGTATCACAGTATCACAGAATCATAGTATCATAGTATCATAGTATCATAGTATCATAGTATCATAGTATCATAGTATCACAGCATCACAGTATCACAGCATCATAGTATCACAGTATCATAGTATCATAGTATCATAGTATCATAGTATCATAGTATCATAGTATCATAGTATCATAGCAGTATCATAGTATCATAGTATCATAGTATCATAGTATCATAGTATCATAGTATCATAGCATCATTGTATTATAGTATCACAGTATCACAGTATCATAGTAGCACAGTATCATAGTATCATAGCATCATAGTATCATAGTATCATAGCATCATAGTATGATATCACACTACGTGTTAATAAATATATATGAGCAATGCAGAGGACTGGTAACTATATATGCATTTGGTGACTGCGTAACATGAAAATATAACCGAACGTCGAAACAGTTAGGGTACCGGAGCTCCGGTACACAACAAGCTGCGTAGGAATTTATACAAAATATTGGAAATATGGCAAACGATTTATTTGATGTCTCGTCTAGATTTTGTTCTCATTATGTTAGGAAATGTGCCTTGATTGCTCCCTGTTTTAAATTTTTAATAAAATATATCGTTGTAGACTTTGCCATAATGCTATGGAAAATGACCACGAATTAGATAGAAAAATTGTAGAGAGAATAAAATGTTTACAATGCGGCAGAATCCAAAGTGTTGCTCCCAAGTGCAGCTCTTGTTCTATAACGTTTGGCTTATATTATTGTGAGACTTGCCGGTTATTTGATGACAACAATAAAGGACAGTTTCACTGTGTGCAATGTGGGTTATGTCGAGTTGGTGGAAGAGAAAATTATAAACACTGTAATCCATGTGGAATTTGCTTCAAAATTGGATCAACACATAAATGCATTGAAAAGTGCTCAAGTTCTGACTGCCCAATATGTCTGGAGGATCTACACTCTCATGGTGAATGCCAGAAGCTGAATTGTGGACATTTAATGCATGTGACTTGTTTAAGACAACTATGCCAGAATTTCAAACAGATTTGTCCATTGTGTGCTGCAAAATTTTGATTGTTTTTGCTTCATTTACGTCATAATTCAGTAAATTAGGGAATGTAGTTTTATTTTTGGATATAATTGATGGACCATTTTTTTATACACAATGTTTCAGGATAATGATTTGTAATGTGCTTTTGTGACCAAATAGTACTAGACACCCTTCCCAAACCTCGCAGCATGCAGTGTTGAATACTGGTGAATAATGATAGTTTGATCAATTAGTTTATCTTCCCAAGGTTGTATGAATGGTTGTATGCTAGGCTATGGTCGGGTAAGGGGGGGGGGGGTTAGTTATAATTTAGATTATGGATCAGGTCCACAATTAGCCATAGACTTTGTCCTGATAAAATTAAAATGCATAAGATGACTTGTAGTAAGACCTGTTTTTTATTGCAATTGAATTTGTAGGAAATATTTAATGTATGTATAAATAATGTATTTAATTGTAATTTAATTGTAGGAACTGATTCCAAATGATACATTTTTCATTTTTACTAATGCTATATTTTGAGATGTATCATGCAAATTAATGAATGTACACCAGGATGAAAGTTATACATATAACACAGGTGATATAGTTATACATATAACACAGGTAACAGTCGCAACAAGGAACATTGAGAGCCAAGTCTGGCACTTAAGCGCGGGAAAAGTTGCCGAAACTCGAAGTTAGGACATTCTCGGGAAAAGTGCAAGAATGGCCAGAGTTTCGGGCCGCTTTCAGTAGCGCCATTCACGATAACGAATATTTGTCAGACGTAGACAAGTTCACTTATCTGCGAGGGTTGCTCCAGGAGCCTACAAAATCGGCGATTGCAGGTTTTGCGTTGACATCCGTGAATTACGAAGCGGGCTGTAAAGCTTCTCGAGCGACGATTCGGTAATAAAACAATCGTACAGCGGGCGTACATCAACGATATGCTAAATTTGAAGCCAGCGTTTAATGGAAACGACACGGAACGTCTGCGCAAGATTTTCGAGGTAGTGGAAACCAATTATCGTGGGTTAGAGGCGCTCGGTGTTAAAGAGGAAGTCTACTCGGAGATTGTAGTACCGTCGATCTTAAACAAGCTGCCATGCAGAGGTCGTTCGGCTAAGAATAACGAGGGACGAGAAGTGTACGAAATGAAAAATGAACGACGTGGTCAAGGCATTGTTGGCAGAGATAGAATTACGTGAGTGCCATGATTTAATCAGCCAGGCGACCAACCAAAAGGGAGAATATCAGAGGCGACGCCGTCCACCGGGAACAATCAACACGTTGTTTACAAAGAAAGAAGGTATTTTCTGTGCTTATTGCACTGGAAATCATAAGAGCGAGGAATTTAGATGAAAAAATGAATAAATAAAGGTCATGTAGCTAAGAATTGTCGTGCACGCAATAGTACTTGTCATGTATGTGGAGGCCTACACCATGTTTCGATCTGTGAGAAAGAGTGTGAGGAAGGTAATGCATGGTAACCAGAGTAAGGAAGACGAGAAAAACAAGGAAGAAACAAATGCACGGTGTGTAAGAAACTAGAGGGAAAGTCTTATAACGCGCCAAAAAAATTCAGGGTAAAAGAAAGCGAACCATTTGCAAAATTGGGATACATTTCGCCGGACCATTGTTTGTCAAAATGCAACCAACGGAACCGATAAGGTTTACATTGCTTTATTTTCATGTTGTGTGAGTAGAGCGTTACATTTAGACTTAGTGAGAGATTTCTCAAAAAAAGAATTTTTGCGGTGTTTGAGACAATTTTCAGCTCGCAGAGGAACTCTGTGAGTGCAGCAACTTTCCCTATGCTATTATGCATTGGAGACAACCCGTTGGTTCCGAAGCCGCTAGCAATTTGCGTGGAGGAACATTAAGAGTTGGATGTAACCCTTCTCCCAGGAGAGACAGTAATCTCGTGATTATATTACATTTACCATATTTTTTCTATTGCCTACGCAGTTGAGCACAAAGATTTTTTCTATTTTAGAAACGTTAAATACGATTGAGAGACGTTAGTTATATACGTTGAGACCGTTGTACAAGAATTATGTGTGGTTTAAATAAAAAAATTATGTTGATTTGCGCATGATCTATTTATCTAATCGGGTGACGGGGACAGTATGCCGCACACTGAGATTTAACCTTCTCAAACTTTTTGCATAGCTTTAAAGTTTTTCATAGACATGGGGTTACAGGCAACTATCGTTTCGGAGATAAATGTGTTCTTTTTGCATTATCAAAAACACTTTTTGCATTGCTTTTGTATTATTCTTGGGAGGCAGGAAAATTACCATTTATTTATGATTAACCGATTGAATATCCGATTGCATAAAACAGCAAACACTGAACGTTTAAACAGATGAGTTGTAAAGCGACCTTAGTTGAGTGTATTTTCACAGAAAATGTTTTCTCTGGTACAAGTTATCCTACAATTATTTGTGCATTTGAGCAGTGAGACGTGCATCGAGAGGCGCGTTATAAAGTATCTTAATTGCAGGGACTTAGATCTAAGAGATCTTAGTACGCTGCTGGGAGTAAGACAAACCTGGGTTGCTACACTGGACTTGAGAAGAAATCATTTATCGACTGTTAACGTGACGAAGCTACTAGAAGTATTTCCAAATTTACAACGTTTGAATGTTCGTGAAAACTCGGCACTCGATTGTTGGACCATTGACGACACACGGATAAACGTAGCGAATGATTGTAAGTTTGTTTTTTATATCATATGGTATAACATTTGTTGCGTTTTATTTGCTGTATAATAACTTTCAATTAGGTGTATTTGAGACAACGACAGGCCTGAAGACCATATCACCGGAGCCACATCCCTAATCCCATCCACTCATATCGACACCTTCGTCATTCCCACAACCCCGGCAACTTTCCCAACCACTAACGTAATTTTTTCCCTGACCATTTCTCAAACAGACACCACAACCATTTCGCAAACCGATAACACGACAACTATTTCTCAAACAGACACTACAACCATTTCGCAAACCGATACCACGACAACTATTTCTCAAAAAGACACTACAACCATTTCGCAAACAGATACCACGACGACTATTTCTCAAACAGATACCACGACGACTATTTCTCAAACAGATACCACGACGACTATTTCGCAAACAGATACCACGACAACTATTTCTCAAACAGACACTACAACCATTTCGCAAACCGATACCACGACGACTATTTCTCAAACAGATACCACGACGACTATTTCGCAAACAGATACCACGATGCCCATTTCTCAAACAGATACCACGACGACTATTTCTCAAACAGATACCACGACGACTATTTCTCAAACAGATACCACGACGACCATTTCTCAAACAGATGCCACGACGCCCATTTATCAGCCCGATACCACGACGGCCATTTCTCAAACAGATACCACGACGACTATTTCTCAAACAGATACCACGACGACTATTTCGCAAACAGATACCACGACGCCCATTTCTCAAACAGATACCACGACGACTATTTCGCAAACAGATACCACAACAACTATTTCTCAAACAGATACCACGACGACTATTTTGCAAACAGATACCACAACAACTATTTCTCAAACAGATACCACGACGACTATTTCTCAAACAGATACCACAACAACTATTTCTCAAACAGATACCACGACGCCCATTTCTCAAACAGATACCACGACGACTATTTCTCAAACAGATACCACGACGACTATTTCTCAAACAGATACCACGACGACCATTTCTCAAACAGATGCCACGACGCCCATTTATCAGCCCGATACCACGACGGCCATTTCTCAAACAGATACCACGACGACTATTTCTCAAACAGATACCACAACGCCCATTTATCAGCCCGATACCACAATGCCCATTTCTCAAACAGATACTACGACGACTATTTCTCAAACAAATACCACTTCAAGAGCTCATACCCTGGTCACTTCCTTAACCCCCGCCACTTCCCGTATTTCAACCCAGACAACGAAGAAAAAAAACCTCAACCTTATTCAGTCACGGCGGCACCCTCACTGGACTCGCTTTATACCTCGTTTTGGGATTGACTGTAGGGATAATGCTATTGCTCACGATTCTCCTCCGGATGGTTAGACGGAGAAGAAAGGCCTTGCGCGAGCAAAGGGCGTCGCAGATAGAACTTCTGTCGTTTGGCCCGGTAAGGGGAGACGAAGCCAATACGACAGTAGATGACACAATATTATGATCTTGCATGATGTATAAGATTTCTTTGTAAAATTGTGTGTTTTTGTATATGTTTAGTTATGATAAATATGTTTTGTATATGTTTAGTTATGATAAATATGTTTTGTATATGTTTAGTTATGATAAATATGTTTTGTATATGTTTAGTTATGATAAATATGTTTTGTATATGTTTAGTTATGATAAATATGTTTTGTATATGTTTAGTTATGATAAGGTAAAATATACAATATTGTCCGCATACATGCACCGGACCATGCGCTTTGCAGTTTACGTGTGTTGTGTACGAATACAAAAAATATACTAAATATATAAAAAATATACAAAAAAAGAATACTGTTTTAGAAAGTCCCCAAAAGGGTAGTGTTTCGGAGGTCGTCCATAACTGTCAAAGAATTCCTTTTCTTGCAATTCCTTGCAAGCGACATCGTCGGTGTCATTGACATGGACGGGTTCAACATCAACTAACAATTCCATTGCAAGGAACTTGGGCTACTTTCCATCGGCGAAACATATGCATCATCTTTTCTTTTCAATATTGGGGTGCCATGGAACATTCTATCATCCAAAGACCAGAAGTCCTGCCGCTACGTAACAAGAAACATTCATCACCTGCCATTCACCAGTCCAACCAGTACAAACCAATTAAAACATCTCCCCTCCATCATCGAAACAGCTTACAGAAGAAGAAGAATAACAAGTCAATTAAAAAATTCTTCCTTTTAAAGAAGCAAGGTAATGGTATGGTTGGTTTGAAACGAAGTCACAACTATTATTACGAATATCTTACCGAGCATATCTTACAGCTTTATTAACATTTTATAACTTTGTGTTAACCAGAGTTTAATTTGGTGGAAAAGGATTTTGAATTAATAAAAGAATTTAAAGACAGAGTATCCAATTCGATCAAATCGTTTTCTGAGGAGGAAGCCAATAGAAGAACGGAAGTACATCGTGAAGGTTTTGTAGTCACTTTTCACTATTTCCCAAATGTGGAATCTGTTTAATTCACCTTTGCATGAACAATTTCAGGCAAGATTTGTTGGGATTGGCAATCCAGAAATAGAGTTTCTAGATCTCCGCCACTACTTATCAACCGTGGGTTTAGGCATGAAAGCTCACTAAGTGGGGAATAAAGTTATGTGTTGCTGCAGCCAGCTATAATTGTTATACCTGTAACTTTCAGATATACACAGAGAAGAAGGCAAAAGATTTATCTGTGCATGGGTTGGGCGACGATATGGTGATCAGCTAAATAGATAAGTATTTTGATCAAGGTTATCATGTCTATTTTGATAATTTTTACACCAATTAATTAGGGGCTTATTCTTCCATGGTACTCCTTCCACGGACACAGTCAAAATAAATAGGATAGGATTTCCACCGTATCTAAATGGACGTTAAAGCCTGGGCCAAGACCCAGAAGGGTGGAGGGGTACGGTGGGTTAGGGAATCGGAAGTGTTAACACTGCAATGGGTTGACAACAAGCCTTTATCGATGTTGACCACCGTTGACCACCAACTAATAACCATGCTGGTTGTAGTTAAGAGAAGGGCAATGGTAGACCAGAAATTTGCTAGGATAGATGCCACTCAACCTAAGGCCATATATAGGTACAACCAATACATGAATGCCGTAGACAAATCTGATCAGCTTCTTGCATGGCATAATATTTTTAGGAAATGTTATCGTATTGTATCGCACAATATTTGTAGGAAATGTAATGAACCGCGGTAATGGAGTTACTCGAGTCCTATGCTATGTTATATTCCCTATTTGAAGGACGATTACATGGCAGACTAGCCGAATATTGTTAAAACGAAATTTTAACATAACAACCATACCACGTGAAGTACAACCCACGGCCAGAACACCTTCAAACCTCGGTTGTCCACACACAACCATTATAACCGACACGAAAACCCTCATTATCCCCAACATACACTTTGACATGCACCTGAACCCACTGACGTAACATGCTAACGCATTTTATGCACACACGTGCAATCCCTGGCCCCTTTTCGACGAAGCTCCTTGAACGAACACAAGCTCTGCTCTTCAGCGTATCTAAACCGATTTTTGGATAAAATCCAACTTTTACACAAAGCCAACCCTGCTCCCCGCTGACGAAGCTTGAAACGTAGCGGCTGAAGAAGAGAATGACAGGATAAATAGTGATGAAGAATCGTGTAGTGACGAGGACATTGTGATTGAAGAGATCGGTGGGGATGTTGAATATATAGACGAACAAGTAGATGAAGAAGAAGACTCCGCTTTTAGTGGTCAGAACAAGATGTGGAAGACATACGGGTTCGTGGAATCTGTTCCAGCTGACGCTAGAAGGTTTAATTTTTTATAATATAAATAAATTTGTTATATTCGCAGTGGATAAGAACCACAGTCCTTTCGACCAATGCCCTAATACCATTTTAAAACGTGTATATAAAGCTAATGTTAGTACTTACACTTAATATGTGCTCCCGAGGGAACAGTCATTATTGAAATGAAATTATTATTCACAAAGGATAACCTTAATTTTTAAGAAGTACAATTCAATTTGGTATAATCTAAACATAAATGTACACTTGACGAACTGGAAGAATATATCCCTACACAGCGCGAAAACTATCCATGATCTGAAAAAGGATGATGACATAAAAGCGAAACCAGCAAAAAAAGGGAGATGACCAGTGGAAGATTATCTAACTAGGCCATTCAGACAACTTAATAACGAGAACCACGACCAGAGACTAAAACACGACCTGACCCCTGAAAATCCGCCTTTGAATATATCCACACACAACCATTATAACCCACACTATAAACCCAACAACATATATTACCACCTCTATATATCCATACTCCACCCCTATATATCCACAACAAACTTTGACAGCTGACCCTTGAACTCAGTGGGGTAATATGCTAACGCATATTATGCACACACATGCAAACCTTGCCCCTTTTCGATCAAGCTCCTTACGATCGCAAGGTATGTTGTTCAGCATAATTTTTTTTAAAAAAACTCTCCTCGTTGTTTTTTAGTTATATATATTTCAAACAATTTTTTTTTATATGAATTAAAGTTCAATATTTGAGCTACGGCCTTGTTTAACACGAATTTGCTAGACTATATATAAAGACTCTGTTGTAAAGTTTGCACTTTCAAAGTTTCTCGATAAGTTTGCACTGCATAATTAATGCAGATCATAAAGAATTTTGCGGAAAAAATTTGAGGGAACATAGACAATTACTACAACTCCAATATTTATGAAAAATTATTTGACATGCACAGCGCATAAGGTCGGCATAAAGACCTATAAAAGAACGACCTGCTGGCCTTCATGTGAATTTAAATACCGTGCGCATTGCGAAATATGATGTAAGATGGATAGCAAAACATTCAATAAAAAACACTCCTTGACATTATTTGCGTGCTTCCGCATTTTACTTTCATTGTCGTGAAATACGTGATCGCAAGACAAAATCATTTTGCCATTTAATCAATAAATACACAGGTTCCTGGTGTATCAAACTAGTTTACAAATGTGGATTCTTTCCAGCAAGGTGGAGTGAATGATTTAGGTAATTCATATTTTATCTCATCGAGATTTGAATTTCGCTCAAAAGAATATAATGAAAGAAGGAACAGAAGAGAATTTGGAAGCAAACAAACGTTTTATACAGTGTAAAGAAAAACAAATAATAAAGAGCCAGAAGCTTCGCATTTAAAATAAATCACCCACTGGGGATGCCACACTAACCTTATAATTGCTCAAAGTGAAGCACAAGGTTTACTAAATTACAAGAACATCCCAATTTATCATTAGATAGGGACACGTTCTTCAGTGTGACTTGAGGCCAAACGCCAGGAAACAGAGGAAACACTTTCTGAGATGACCTGAACATTGTTTAGGCACTAATACAAGTTGATGTGTGCAAAGTGTGACAATAGTTCCGGATTCAGCTTGGCTTCTTGCCCTGCGTAGTAGTAATTTTCCCATATAGTAATTTGTCCCGTGTTTTTCAAAAATGTCATCCATGTACTATGGGGCGTGGATTCAAAAGGATCCTCTCAATTTTTTGTTTTTAACTGACCAATGTCCATAAGCAGGATTATGTCGGGTTTTTCCATTAACACATTCGAAATGTATAATATTTTCCAGCCTTTGCTTAGTCTTAGTAACACCTTTTTTCTGTAAAATTTCGATAAATTACAAACGGCAAAGAGAGTTGGAATTGTGACTGTATACTAAGTAATATTTCCAAAATCGGAACTTATGTTTAGATACATAGTCTCTTTCACGGTTGATCGACGATGGACTTTTGAGTTCGTATATTTGTTGATGGTGGTTGTAACGAGGTAGGAGGTCTACGTTGATTAGAAGCGCCAGTTTAAGCACCGGTGTTGTTTTAGCATAGTGGTTGAGGTATTTCTTGCATGGGTTGAATTGAGTTCTTATTGACGATAGGTGAGGTGTTGAATAGGTAGGTGAAACGTTCCTCTATAATCCCAGAGCAACCGTAAGTAACATTTATTATAAGGAATATGCCTGGGAGAGCGATTGCCATTGATAATAATACGTACCAACCTTGCAATTCTTTCTCGTACAAAATTATGGTTGTGCGACTTTCTTTAAATGTTCACCAACTGCCAGTGTTAGATAGGATGGTTACAATGATAGATGAGGGAAAATACAGGGAGGTAGGTAGATACTTCTTTTACCGAAGTTCAAAAGAAAGAATATTACTTCAACTCTAGCCTAGGATCTCAGTATTCCAGAAGAGAGTGTCTTCATGTCCAATTAGTTCATTATTTCATTTGCATTGACGATTCCTTTCTGGGCTTCGAAAGATACAAGAGTTCAAAATATATAAATGTTTTCTTGAAACACAATGTTCGCAAGATCCTTTTGGCATTAATAATTAACTCGTTGCAATCTGGATATTCATTACTTTTTCTTCAATTTGCTAACACAAGACAATGTAATTAGGAACTTCAATATAGTGGTCGGCGTCATACCACTTTTCTGTTATACACTCCAATGCCATTATGAGACGTCGAGCCTGGACCATGAAGAATAAGGTTGAAAACATTTTGCCTGTCCACGGTTAAGTTTATTTGCCGAGAACACACTTTTCGTAGCACGAAAGAGGAAGTGTGTAGAATCAAGAAAGAGTTTCAAATAATAATAAGCACATATACATGCACAAACACGTCACTTGCCTAATTGAAAACGTAAACAAAACAACGGACAATGCAATAGAAATACTAGTTATGAAAACATAAATTTGAAGAACACACAAGGACGCACGTTACGTTAGAGAAAACAAAGAACATACACGACATACATGGTGAAAAGTAAGCAACAAGAAGTTTCAATTCATAATAAATATTTAGGCAAAGACCAAACTGGACCCCAAAAAAATTTTTGTTGTAATGCGGTGAATATTTTAGGATTAATATCTTAGAATATCTTGGACTTCAAGTTCATTTAATCGTTGCAATTCAGATTTTTTTAAGGCTGTGGAAATAAGCATCCAATTTTAATAGATACTTATTTTTCAATTTTGAAAGGGAGAAGAACTCATTCAAATCGTTTGAATTTAAATTAACAAATCCTGCATGAAAGAATCCACATTTGCACACGTTTATGCTATTGATTACACACATACGTTATGGCAAGTGTCGTTCCAAGGAACGGTTATATTTTTTAAAAAACACGAATACTTTTATCGATTAAAAAAGCTATTCTTTGTAAAATGTTTTGCTGCGATAGGCAAATTTCGCGCGTTCATCAAATGAATAGGTTTTCGTATATCAGATTGACAGATACCGTTTTCATACGCAATTAAGTATAAATTAAGGTTTAAAACGAATAAATATCATAAAATATGTGTAACGTTTTTTTGAACAATTATAACAAAATCAAAACAAGCCCTAATAATAATTTTGCATGGTATAAATCTTCTTTTTTCTCTGCGAGTAAGTGATCATAAGATACTTCCAAGGCCACATTGAAAACCGAAACTGATTTATACCTCACCGCAGTACTGTTCGCAGGGACGATATTATTGCCCCTGTGTCTCTTCTGGGTTGTTAAATCGAGGACTAAGAGCCTTGCGCAAACAAAGGATCTCCCTGATTGAGTTTTTATCGTTTGGACCGTCAAGGGGGAGACGAGGTCAATATAACAAAATACCTGAAGCCTACATCAACTATACCAAATATATAATACCTACTTTCGTTCACC